GTGGCCACATGACGCCTTGCCGCCGCGGTACGGAGCGCGTTGAACTGGAGCTGACGAGGAGAGGGAGGACCTTGAGGTGAGGGGCCGGAGGAGGGTGGGGGAGGGGTAGCGGGGCAGCTGGACCGATGATGGGGCCTCACTCGGCCCCACCGCGCCGCCGTTCACTTGCCGGCTTATAGAGCCCTGCCGGTGCGCTTCTGCTCTGACCTTTTACAATCGGAACGGGTCTTTTTCTCGACGTGTGGGCTCCGCTTCGCGGGCTGATTAGATAAGGGCTTTAGTGCGCGCCCTGCTGGCCCGGGCTATAGTGTCACCTCTACAATGCGCGTCAGTCGCTGCGCGCCAAATAAAATCGTTGATAACATAATAATTTTTGAAAGAGGGGGAAAAAGTTTTTTCCCTTTTCTTTTTGGTACGGCGGGCATTTGCGCGCGCTCCGCTGTGTGCGAGGCGGGGACGGCGCCGCTGACACAAGCGCGGGGCTGGCCCGGGCGGGGCGCTCGCCGGGGCGCTCGCGCTCAGACGCCAATGACTCACCCGGAGTCATCAGCCGCCGTCTGCTCTCCGCGGATACACTGTGGAGAGAGAGACACGCAGAGAGGGGAGAAAATGAAGACAATTGCGTGCGGGATTTGATTTAAGAGTGACACGCACCTCTGATGAAGCATTTAGACTGTTATTACTCGGCCTCACATGCCACTCGACCACTTTGTTGCCACCTAACCATCCCGCCTTGTTTTATTTTTCGATTTTTCCCTTTTGCCTTTGGTGTGGTCTGCGGAATAGGCTTGGGGGTTAATAGCCTAACAAGGTTGTAATACTTAGGCGCCCCAAACAAATACGAATACCAGCCCGCATACAGACGTGCGAACGGGTTTGCCTATTCGGCCAAAAGGTGCCATGACTGAGAGTCGATAGGCAAACGCGTCTGGACCTGTCATGGGGGGTACACTACACGCATTTGCTCCAGTGAGGCACAGCAGCGACCGCCCTTTATGAGAAATTGTGACACGTGACGTTGCCTGAAATCCAAGACGGTCGGCTTGATTCTCGTAACCTGACGCATAGACTGTGGGCGATTGTTTAGTTTCTTTTTTCCCTTTCATGATCAAGGCCGTCATGCGTTGTTTACGTTATGTCATGGTCTTTTTAAACCGCCCTACTGATTACCCCCCTCCCCTTTTTCTCGTTTTATTTTCCCCCTTTCACCACCACCACCACCACCACCACCACCATCGTTCTGTCATCGTCACGCCATTTCACGGAAAGCAGTGGAATCACATAGTAGTAATCTGATTGTGATCTGGCCAGCGGGGCGGCGTGGGGCGCGAGTCACTGTGCGGAGTGCCAAACAACACCCGAGATGTGTTTGGTCGCCCATCTGGTCGTCACGCCGCCACCGCCGCCGCCGCCGCCGCCGCGGTTGGGCTGCCGGGGCCCCTCTGAGTCATTGGCTGCTCTGCCCGGCCCCCGGCCCCGCCCGGCCGCCTACCCCCCGCACCCCCACACGCACTGGCCTCACTTGCTGGCTGCACCCCTATCTCGGCCGTGTCTGCCTCCGAGCTGCTCTCCCGTATCGAGAGCTGATTAGGAGCGCGACGGCGGCCCCGGAGAGCCGGGTGGTAGGGGGGCCATGTCATACGGGCTCGACCCGCGCGGGGCCCTCCCTCTCGCACCCGCCGCGGGGCCGCCGCCGCCATTGCCTCAATAGACGGCGCATTTTATGGACAAGAGCGAGACGGAGACAATAAGTTACATCTATTCTCATCATCGCCCACGTTACCAAGTCTAAGTCTAAACTTTGTTTGGTTTGAACGTGCTGATTGCGTTTCTGAATAGCGGTGCCGTGATGCCTTCATCATTCGCGTGAGTACGGAGTTTGGGGTTCATTGGGAAGGTACTACGTCCACTGACGGCCACCCATTTGCCGTTACGAAATTAACCGACAAGTTCGGCCGATGCGACAGATCCTGTAGCGCCTGATGGGTAGGCAACGTGAATCCTGCGGCGCGCGCGTGCA